AAACATGCGTTTGTTTTGTATGCGTGGCAGCTGATGTGGAATCCTATTTTCATCTTCTTCATTCTCCTCTTGCAGGCTGCATTGTATTTTCATCTTCTTCGTTCATCTTCTTCACCCATTTCTTTCTCTTCTACCCCATACTTCCCCAAATTCTAGGGTTCAACAAATTTCTTCCCCTTATGATTATGTAATTGCTTGAGGAAAATGAAGTAATCTTCGTACGATTCAAAGGGCTATGGAGATGGTAATTTGCGATGGAAACCCATATGTGGCTGTGGAGACACGACTGTTCTTCGAAGGGCTTCAACTCACACGAATTTTAGGAAGCAATTATGGGGCCGTCGTCATTATAAGGTAAGAAAGAAATTAAATGGCTTATTCATATTATTTTTTATGATCTATACAAATTTGGACTGACACAGAGTTCATCTGAAACTGGATGTGGATACTTTTAATGGTTCTATGATGATGTTGTGGATGAGAAAGAGCAGTTTATAAAGAAGCAAAATAGTAGGTTGGAGAAGCTTCAAAATGACCTTGATGCAACAAAAATGCAGATACTGTCTTTAAAGGAACAAAAGGATAGACTAAAATAAAAGATAAGGGGGTTACAAATTGAAATGAAGAAAATGATGAATTCTGAAGAAGAAAAAAATGGAAAAAATGTTTTGTATGTTGTTAATTTTTGTCATTTGGGTGATATTGTAAATTACAGTATCGTTTATAATATCATTTGAAATGAAGATAATATTGTTAATTGATGAGGTTGTATGTTCTATTTGTATCATTTTGCTATGAATTTTGGAACTGGTGTAAATTCCAGTATGCAACTGTATGAAACTGGTGTAAATTCCAGTATGAAACTAGTTTAATTTTGGAACTGTATTTTTGATGAATTTTGTAAACAATACATAATTTTGAATACATAATTTTGAATGAAGTCAACAATAATACATAAGGTGGTGGATACCACTAATATTCATAAATTTCATGTTCAAAAACTTGATATTACAAGTCCAAAAACACTACTATTACAGATCCAAAAACCATACTTTACATGTCTAAGAAACCTGATATCACAGGTCCAAAACAACAGTAAACAGTACAGGTCCAAAATAGCTTAACTAAAGTTAACATAAAATAACAGAACCATTACATAAAATACATTAATCTAAGGTTTTCATTTTGTTGCGACTCTCTTAATAGGTGTCGTCCTTCTTGTTGTTGGACCTACAACAGTTTTAGATGCATTCAACTTAGTTGTTGGACCTACAACAATTTTAGATGCATTCAACCTAGTTTTTGGACCAGGTGGGACAAAAGGTGCATTTGGCCTTCTAACTTGCAACTTTTTGGATTTGGGATTCACTTTCGTGGATGATTGAGAAGTAGGTGGTTGGGATGCGTGAGCTGGCTGGAATTCCTGAGCTGGCTGGGATGCTTGAGCTGGCTGAGATGCTTGAGCTTACTGGGATGCTTGAGCTGGATGAGATGCTTGAGCTTGCTGGGATGCTTGAGCTGGCTGAGATGCTTGAGTTGGCTGAGATGCTTGAGTTGGCTGGGATGCTTATGCTGGATGAGATGCTTGTGCTGGCTAAGATGCTTGACTAGTAGATGATACCTTGCAAGTTAGCTTGTTGTGTCCTGCTTTCTTACACCAGTTACACTTTATAATGAATCTCGTCCTTCTCATATTTTTATCAGAACCATCTATCTCATCTTGCTCTAAATTCCTCCTTTTTTTGGCCTGCCAGACATTTTCCTAAATTTGGGGGGCAGAATATTAGGATACTCTGTTCTCATCCACAGGTTTGAGCCATTAACATGATATATTACAGGTTTGTACACTTGCATATATCTTGCTTTCCTGTAGTAATCAGAAGTGTAGTCATCAATCTTGTGGTTCCTACTTTTGATTGTTGCAATTGAATGAATACAAGACAGGCCTATTAGCTCCCATCTTCTGCATGAACAGTACTTTTCCTTTAGGTTGACTATGAATTTTTCAGATGAGTTTTCCAGATGCCTCACTTCAAATATATGCTCATCAGACATTCTAATATATAAATATACATTCCAAATATAAATACACTTCAAATATATACACTTTAAATAAATTTGTTTAAAGCAATTACCTGATAAGCCACATGTTTGTGTATGAACTTGTTTTTTCAATCTTCTTCGTAATGTTAGGCAACACTTCAACATCTTCTAATTTATCAAACCTCATCCTGTTTGTAGCCCATCTTTCCATGATGTATATCCTAATTTCTTCCACCGTGGTTATCAAAGGCTTGGCCCTAGACTCAAGGATGACATTGTTAAATGTTTTGACATATTATTGAGAACAACATCACACTTGTTATCAGTCTTGAAGTATGATCAGCTCCAAAACCTTGGAGGGTGCTAATCATGTGTTTGTATGCTTCTCCATTGATCTCTTTCATTACTTTCATCTCTCTTTCCCAAGCTTGGCAGTAAGTTGACTTGGCAGCTTTCCATATTATTTCCTTTATTTTTTTTCCTGGATACCTCTTCCTGAAGTTATTGTAGAGATGCCTAACATAGAATCGTTGTTAAACTCTAGGTAGTGGTTCTTCCATTGCAGGCAATAATCCCTAAGTCATAAAAAATATAACATGAGAATTTATAACATGAAATACCTATCAATAAAAAATTAAAAACAGAGCCATACCTTTTGTTGATCAGAGATAAAAGTGTATGTGAGGCACTATTCTCTTCCACCAAGATCATCAATAAGCAGCTCTAACAATCATGTCCAGCTATCCTTGTTCTCACTCTCCACCACTGCATATGCTATTGGTAGCATTTGTTCATTGGGATCTCTGTCTATGGCTGCAAGTATTTGACCCCCACAAAGGCCTTTCAAAAAACATCCATCAAGTCTAATGAAATGTATGCTTAACTTAAATCTTTCCCTACAAGCTGCCAAGCATATGTATATCCTTTTGAACACCACCTTCTTGTGCAGGTTCGACATTCACTTTTACAATTGACCCTGAATTAGCTCTTAATAACTCATGTACATAGTTATATATCCTTGCATAATCCCCTAGGAACGACCCATCGATCATGTCTTTGGCTGCAAACCTAGCCCTTATGGCCTTGGTTTTGTTGACCCTCACTTTCCACTTCTTCTGTACCTTCTCCTTAATGTCCTTAATTTTTATTCTAGGGTTGGTTTTAAGTGAATTCTGCAACCTCTTGCTCAACCATTTAGTCTTCATTAACTTTAAATTATATTCTCTACTGCAACTATGGCTGTCTACTACCTTTCTTAGTTGCCAAGAATCCTCAGTAGACAATTTAGCACAATAGGATTCCCATTCACATCCTTCCTTACACCTAACCCTAATCCCGGTCTTGTCCTTTTTAATGAACTTTAAATTTCTGCTAAATTGGACTGCATAAGAGGTAATGGCTTCCTTGAAAGTTTCTGCTGTACTAAAGTAGGTTCCCACTTCCCATTTGTAATTGCCCATATCCTTTTGAAGCTTGAAAACTGGATACTTCTTTCTCCTAACTCTACTGCTATCATCACTATCACATTCACTTCCTAGATCTTCACTTTCATTATCACTTCCTTTGTTATCTTCTTTATTTGCTTCACACTTTTCTTTACCTTTTTTGTTTTCCATATGTTCATAGTTAATTAGGTTACCCTCTTTCTCTTCCAAATCAATGTCATACTCATCAGGGTCATCATCAAATACTACCTCTGTTGCACTATCATAGTTGAAGGTGTTATCATCAGAACTATCATCATTAGTCAGTCTAACAACATCATCAACCTCGCCAACCCTATGTCCAATATCATCACTTTCAACCTCATTAACCATTGGCACATTATCATCAGTTCCTATTACATGAACACCATCTTCCCTAATATCATCTTCCCCAACACCATCCACGCTAACATCATCTTTCTTAATATCATCTTTCCTAACATCACATACTCTAACACCATCTTCCCTTACATCAGTTTCATTCAACATCTCTTCAAGCGCAACTACTGCCTCATCAACTATCACATTAAAGGGTACCTCATCTAACATAACTTCAGTCTCATTAGCATAATCAGGCTTTGACAATGTGTGTTGAATAAAGATTTCAACACTAAGATGAACCCTATATAGATCAGCAATCTCTAATGTCCCCTTGTCATCAACCAACATATTCATTCCAGCAGTATGATCCCTGTAATATATATTCTTTACATATGCATAACCTAGCTCTTTAATAACACCTATAAATTCAAAATAGCTCCACTTATTAACATTTACTCTCAAATCAACAATCTCACCTCCTTTGTAAACACTCATGTCCTCAGTAATAAATTCGCCACTATGGTGTATTGTAATGTTTAGATATTCATCCATTACAGACTAGGTCCTAAATGAACATGAAGATATTTGATTTCATAAACATTAATTTCAAAAAACCTTAACTACGAAAATCATAGTTTTGCAGAAACTTACCTACGATGAGCAGTGTTATAGTCGATTTTACCTTCGCTTCGATTGTAATATTATGGTCGGATTGTGTCTTCGCTTCGCTCGTAGCTTATTCGCAGATTGGAGCTACCAACAATGGTTGTCCAAGGATTACCTTCTAAGTGTTGGAGATGTAATCTGATCCTTCAACACATGCAATACTATAACCATTTTTTTAAGTACTTTAATCCACCTGGACGAAAATGTAAATACGTGCAATGCCACATAAGTCCTACCACTGACCTTGACTAACGGTCCAGACAGAAAAGATAAACGTGGTCTTTTTTGAACAATTAAAGAACCACTTTAAAATTTTTTAGAGATAAATTACCAAAAAGGATCCAAAGATAAAGTTAAGAGACTAAAAATGTATTTTGCCTAAATTTAATTTAAAGTAAACTCTATTAATTACATCTTTAAAAACGACAAAGTTAGATCTCATAATAACGCCGTTTTGGTAAACGAAAAAAGTGAAAAGTGGAATCAATGGAAGAAGATTTAGATTTTGGGAAGAAGGTTTCGATAAACGACCCAATGGAAGTGATTTATCCATCCAAAACCGTTCTTCTTCTTCGCGATTTTCTCGATATTCAACAACGCAGAGCCCAGGCATATTCCAAACTCAAAAGGTTCGTTTAATGTAAGGTTTTGTTTGGATTCGCGAAATTGCGTAATAATCAACTTGTTTTTTTAATTTTTTATTATTAATTTTACTTTATAATGATTATATCTATTTTCTGCGAGTTTTTTTGATCTGGAACTTATGGCTTCGTTAACATTCGTGATAGTGAATCTAGTGATGAAGGGTTTGTGTTTAAGCATGAAGCAAAACAAGAAAAATAATAAGGGAATTGGAAATTTCACAAAATTATTATATATTGAAGTTGTTATACTGTGAAATAGGAGAAACCTAATGGCTATCTGTTATGGTGTATTTTAATTGTGAAATTCCTGAAACACCCCAACCAAAAATCCCTGACATCTGAATTTTGAGGTTTTTTTTGGAAATTTTGACCTCATTCTGAAGTGTGCTGTTTTAGCTACTGCATCAGCTGCTATACTAAATTTCTCTGCTATTGTGTGTCCTGTAGTGGCCAAGGGCAGCTCTACTATGTTATGCCGCAATAGCTTGCTATTGACAACACTTTTTCGTATTATGTAATTAAAACCCAAAACTATAAAGAAATGTTCCCTTTGTTCTACTTGAAAATTCATAGTTCATATCAGAGTGGAGCAGTAGGGCCATTGGATCTCTGACAGTGTACCAATGTTACTTGCCAAATATTTCCTGATTACATTGGAATTTGACTATTGGCAGTGGCTTTTCTGACTACATGACTTCTGGAGGGGAGTTGGCTTACCAGCAGCTTTGCAGTGGAATCACTAAAGAGTTTAACGAATGCTCAAAACAAGTTTGACACATGATCCTAACATTATCTTCTTCTAATATATAAAAAAAATGTTAAATCTTACTGCATTTCTTTAACATTTATTTTTTGTTTCTGATTTAGCATAGGTCCTCGAAATGGAGTCACTGCTTCAGAGTCCTGACTATAGCCGCGTTGATCTAGCACAAATCCTTAGAGCTGTTCAAGATCAGGAAAAGCAGAAACTGCATCTGGTATGCCTCTAGTTTAAGGATGTATCTTTTTACTACAAACAAACTTCACCTGTTTGTATTGATGCACATGAAGTTTCTTTCTTGTATTGTGTTCTTTTCTCTCTGGGTAATGCTAATGTTCAAACTTAAACATGCTACCGTGTATGTTTATGATTTTTTAATTGTCTATTATTGGAACATCGTTGGCTATTCATGCGAATACAAGCTTCAGAGCCATTGGATCTTCAGCAATTCTTCTGTCGTGATCACATGATAACAAATACCAATTAGTTATTCTGTTTGCTCTTAATTACGTCCATGTTTTTTGAACTTTTCATGCTTTTATACTACACTTGCCTCTATTCGAGCTGTTGGTATTTTGCTGACAATCACTTCACTTTAAAGACAGCTACCATTCAGCTGTTAAAGAAAGCTGGCCGGCCATCTGAACGACTGGTGAGCCATGACAATTGCAAATTTACAAAGCATACAGAGCATGAGTGTGTTCATGTCAAGGAAATCACTGAGGCTTCTGGGACTGAAGAAGCAGAAGCAGATGCTGAGTTTGATAATGCTCTCAACGAAGCTATTAGAGGTGTACAGGATGCTGTAATGGTCATCAATGAACATCTAGAAGAAGTCAGATATGAGATTGCAGCACTTGAACTTGAAGCAGAGTGATACTTTGCTGATTCATTACTGAAATGCTTAGTGCTAACATATATTGGCTTGTGTCTACGGCCAATGGAATGTACATAGGCACCCTAAAATGCAGTTCATGAATTTTGTTTGTCACAAGCAATTTATATTAGAGTAGACAAAAGAATATCAAGAAAATTTATTTATATGTGCTTTTATTACTTTGTTACTTTATGGAAGTGCATGGTTATTTGGATGAGTACTCTGATTCAAACCTCTGAAGTTTTGGTTGACTCTACTTTGTTTTTATGAAAAACGAGGAAACTCATATTCATAAGAGAGATAAAGACCATACTGATTACTAATTTGGTATCATTGTATATTAATTGAAAAAGATGGTAAACTAGACAACACAAGTCTCATATTTATAGGTCTATATGACACAAATTTGTATCTAACTCTAGCTGAATTATGACTAAATCATAACCTTTGTCAAAAGCTTTTCAAAGAACCTTTGACACAAATTTGTTCCACTCAAGTTGTACCAATTTGAATGGAATCTGTTTGGAATCACTCAATTTGTATCAGTTTAGTTTTAGCCTAATTGTGTTATGGTTTATGGCACTGATTTATAGTAGTTTAGTTATAGCACTTAGTTGGTACCTTTCAATTTAAATGTACTAAATGTATACCGCCTATTTATACCAGTTTGAATATATACCATTCAATCTACACTAATATATGATAAATGTAAATTGTTGCATAATTGTCATTAAACATTGACATGTTCAAAATGCATGTTCAACACACATTACACATTGGCATGTTCAATATACATTACAATCAAAACATACATCATTCAAAAGACAATTAAAACCATGTCAAGATCTTTGATGTTGGATGTCTTTAGAGCTCTAGAATTGATTCATGATGAATTCAGACCCATTGTCAAACCTGGGTATTTTAGGTGTGACACGGTATTATGTTTCAATCATGGTAATGAAATTTTTGACATGTGAAGTAACACCACCTTTGAATTTTGAGGAATATAATCTATGTGAATCTACTCAATCATGGTAATGAAATTTTTGACATGTGAAGTAACACCGCCTTTGAATTTTGAGGAATATAATATGTGAATCTATTATGGTCATCAAGGATTGTAAGGAAGTATTTGTGGCCATGGACATATTGAATGGAAAGAGAGTCCCAAATATCAAAATGCAACAAGTCATATTTTGATTGAGCATGAGATTTAGTGGTTTGAAATGATAACTTCTTTTGTTTGTAAAAATGACATATATCACAATGTTTAATTTATTATGAGAAATATCATGGTACAAATGTGACATTTGAGACGATCTATTACTATACAAGTGGTCAAGTCTAAAACGCCATAAGGAAAAAGAAGGAATAGTCATAGTACAATGAGATATATCTAGTGTGTTTACATTTTTCAGGTTTTGAGGGATATGTTTGGATTAGTCGTTGGGGTTGTTGTTTACTTGTAGTTGATATAAGTCATTCACTGAGTTAGTCAAACCAATCATCTGAGATGTCTTCATATTCTGCTTGTGACAAGAAAGTGTAGTAAATATGACTTGACAATGTAGAGATTGACACAATTTTGAGTTAGATATAAGATTCAATCAAAATTCAAGTGAATATAGGACATTTGTGACTTATAATTGGGGTGAAATTGAATATTACCAACATAATGAATTAAAATTGTGTTACCATTTGACAAGTGAACTTTGATGGGTTTAATTCTTTAAAGAAGTAAAACAAGATCGAAAAAAATATATGTTGTTATCTCCAGAATCAAGAAGTCACATTGTGCTATTGTGACTTACAAAACAAGTAATAACACTAGGAATACTTAACTGGTGAGGCTCACCTGATGAATGATCAACATGAGTAAAAATTGAAGTCTTTAGTTGGTTGGTGCTTGAGCCAATTTCGGGACATGCTGTAAGAATCAAGTTTGCTTGTTGTAATAAGCACATGAATTGATCACACCTCTCTTGAGTAAGACCGGAATTAGTGATCTCTTGTTTATTAACTTCAAATGAAGCATTTGATTGATGAGAGTTAGTGGCATTACTGCTAGACGAATGATGTTTGTTAATGTTTGGATGCTCGTGCTTCTAATAACAAAATTCCACTATATGACCATATTTGTGGCAATGTGTATAGTATATGGAGTTCCCTTTACCATGGTTGGTACCTTTGTCTTGGCCATAACTCTTCTTGGAGTCATATGCATTAGCAAGTATATGGTCATCAACCACCAGTTCAACATTGCAGTTACTTTCTTCTTAAGCCACTGAGGAGTAAACTTTGTTGATGGATGGTAAGCATTCCATTAGTAAAACTTGAGTTTTGTTCACTAAAAATTTATCTTTCAATACAATTATAAATTGAATGACTTAATCTTCAAGAATATACGGTCTAATTAATCTCATAGATTCAAATCTACAAGGGCGAGGGAAAATGCATGATGGAATTGGGCGATAGGCATTGATTTCATCCCAAAAAGCTTTCATCTCGATGAAGTATTTAAGTACAGTTTTGGCACCTTGTTTCATATTATTCAGTTGGAACTACAAATGAGTTACACGAACTCAATCAATCTTAGAAATCCTCTCTTTGAGATCATTCCACACATCAATGGCATTTTCATGAAAAATAATTATTTGGGCAATAAAATCATAAACAAAATTGATAAGCCAAGAGTGTACTAGATGATTGCATCCTTCCCATGTTGCTCGATTCAAGTCATCAAAATTTGGAATTTCCATGGATCCATCAATGATGGAAAGCTTGTTTTTCGCTCCAAGTGTTTTACGTATGGATCTGCTCCAAATTGCATAGTTGTTTCTGTGAGATATTGGATCGAACTCTATTAGGTCGAAGAGTAGTTTATGGTTCAACACGTTTTATGCATATCGTTGAAGTATGTTCATATGTTGGTGTCGAAAACCCACATAATGTAGTCGAAGTGTGTTCTAGTATATGGGCATCGAAATGTTAAGGTTGTTAGTATTTTGAATTGGGCCTGTTTGTTATGTCCAATTGTTTAAGTTAGCTTGTACCCTAAGTTAGCTTGTAATGGGCATTTGTGAGAAAAAAAACCATTAGTTTAGTATGTTAGGTTTATTATAAATAGCATACTAGTCTCTCATCATTGCATACTGTAAATCTTAATTTAGAGTGAGAGTGTTATTTGTTATTCTTGTAATACTTGTAATCTTAATTAAAGAGAAAGCAAAGAATAACAGTTATAACCAATCCTTGTTGTTCTTCGTGTTTTTCCATCTTTTCTATCCTTGAGAGTTTCGTGCCTTGAAGAACTTTGTTATACTTTATTTTAAAGGTATCATGTTTCACAATAAATTGGTGTGGTGAGCATGGAGAAGATTCCATCAACAAAGTATGAGATTGAAAAGTTCACTGGAGTGAACGATCTCGGTCTATTGTGCTTGAAGATGAAAGCCTTACTTGTTCAACAGGGTTGTTTGGAAGCATTGAAGGGAGCAACGGCCATGGATAGTGCGTTAACAGAAAAAGAAAAGATGGCCATGATAAATAAAGCCCACATATCAATCTTGTTGAGCCTTGGTGATAAGGTTCTTCGACAGGTATCGAAGAAAATGAGAGCATCAGGGTTATGGATGAAACTTGAAAGTTTGTACATGACCAAATTGCTGGTAAATAGATTATACCTGACGTAAGCTTTGTATTCATTTAAGAAGATTGAAGACAAAGTGTTGGATGAGCAGTTGGATATGTTCAACAAGAAGATTCTTAATTTTGAAAATATTAATGTGAAGATCAATGATGGAGACATAACACATGCTCACCTCAAAGAAACTATCTTGTATGGAAGGGAGTCCTTAACCTTTGAAGTTCAATCAGCCTTGTATTCTAAGGACTTGAACGAACGAAAGGAGCATAAAACTTCTACGGTTGATGAAGGTTTGGTCGTTAAGAAAAAATTCTTGCAAAGGGATGGTAAGTTCGACAAGAAGAAAGGTAAAACTCAGCAGAAGTCTTACAATGGCAAATAATCTAGTATTCATGCTATCATTGTAAGAAGGAGGGTCACACTAGAAATGTGTGCCCTAAACGCCTGAAAGATCGTGGAGGTAAGGATAATGGCAATGCATCTATTGTTTAATATGATTTCGACTCATATGATGTTCTTGTGGTTCCGAGCAGCAATCCGTCGAATGAGTGGATTATGGATTCTAGGTGCACTTGGCATATGACTCCAAGCAAAGACTTATTCAAAGAGACATGTGATCAAGATGATGGATATGTATTGCTGGGAAACAACAAAGCTTGCAAGATTGCATGTGTTGGATTTGTGAGATTCAAGCTCCATGATGAGTCAATAAAGTTGTTGACTGAAGTCAGGTATATACCTGGTTTGAAGAGAAATCTGATTTCTCTTGGTGAATTCGACAAGAAAGGATATGTTTTCCAAGGAGATAAAATTTCCCTAAGAGTCATGAAGGGGTTGAAGGAAATCTTGATAGGCATGAAGAAGCGATGCTTGTATACCCTTAAGGATGAAGATGTAAGTGGTTCGACAAATATTACATCCACGAAACCTTTGTCGAAGACATAAATTTGACACATGAGATTGAGCCATGTTAGTGAAAAGGGTTTGGTCGAATTAGGGAAACAAAATTTTCTTGGTGGAGACAAAGTCGAAAAGTTAAAATTTTGTGAACCTTGTGCACTTGGAAAATCTTGTAGAGTGAAGTTCAACAAAGGCAAACAAAGAACACGTGGATCCCTTGATTACATGCATGCTGATCTTTGGGGGCCTGCAAGGTGTCCATCACATTCATGAGCAAGGTATTTTCTATCCATAATAGATGATTATTCTAGAAAGTTATGGGTATTCATTCATAAGACTAAGGATGAAACTTTTGAAAATTTCAAAAGTTAGAAGACTATGGTTGAAAATCAAATGGAAGAAAGGTCGAGAGGTTGAGAACCGACAATGGTCTTGAATTTTGCAATGAGGCTTT